GTGGGCTGAGAAAGAGGAGAAGCTGAGAAAGAAGTTGAGGCGGGTTCTGAAGTTTGATGTGACCAAAGCCGTCCCCGCGGACCCCGTGTCCCTGCCTCCCGCCGACTGCATCCTCTCCACCCTCTGCTTGGGCCGCCTGCAAGGACCTGGCCACCTTCTGCAGCGCCCTGAGAAACATCGGTGCCCTCGTGAAGCCAGGGGGGCACCTGGTGTTGGTGACCGTCCTCCGGGAAACCTACTACGCCTTCAACAAGCAGGTTTTCTCGTGCCTCCACCCGGAGAGAAACGTCATGGAGGAAGCCGTGGAGGGCACCGGCTTCGACGCGAAGTTCAGCGAGGTCCAGCCGTACCTGCCCGGCGATGTCCGCACAGACTGCGAAGCCGTGTTGAGCCTCGTGGCACGCAGGCGTGCCTCCGTCACCGGATAGCACGTGGGCACTGGGGAGGAAAACAGCAGCGTGACCGGTTTCAAAAAGCCCCGCCGATGTAACCCACAACCCCTTACTCCTTTATCTGAACGCGAATAAACTCGTGAGCGCCCTAACGGTGTCCGCGGGCTGGGATTTATGCGGCACGCACAGCACCAGCACTCGAAGCCCTGGCTGCGCAGCAGCAGCCCAGGCTCGGGGTAACCCCGCCAGCTCGCCCCAGCCCAGAGACAGGAATTGCACCCTTCCCTGCCATCCTCCCAAGTCAGAGCAGAGCTTCTGAGAAGCTTCCCTCCTTCAGCCGTGGTGCGCTTTTTTGAGACCAAAATCCATTCCTATGGGAAAAAAGTTTGGCCGCAAAGGCAGCGAGATTGTCCAAACCCAGACCTGTTTCTGGAGAAACCCTGCGTGCTCTGGCTGAAAAGTTGGGGGGAAAAAAGGATTCCGTCAAGGGGAGCAGCATGCCTTGCACCCAGACAATCCCCAGCACTCCCAGAACCAAGAGTACTTGCTGATCTTTTCAGCAAACCTGTAAAAATTTTGGGACAAAAAGCTGCAGCCCCAGCAACACGTACCTGCCGGGCACCGGCACGTATGTGGGAACAGGGCAGAAAGGGTTGGCAGATGGACATGATGCTCTCCCCAAAGCAGCCTCCTCCGGCTCGCAGCACCGCTGCCCATACTCAGTTGTTCTCCCGGGATTACAGACAGCCAGACCTGCGACATACGAGAGATTCATTTCAGAGATACTCGAGCCTAGACGTTTTTAATAATAATCAATATTAGCACACGCAACACGCCTCAATTCTCAGCAGTTTTTTAGAGCAAATGTTTGGGATTTGTTGCTGAAGCTTCTCCTCCCCTCGCTCGTATCGATTTTCTTTCGGGGCAGTTTTGATTCAAGAGTGAAAAGAATTATGGAAATGGTAAGAACCTAATTAAAAAAACCCCACTGAAGTCTTTAGGGCTGTAGGGTAACACTGACACCGGTACAGAGTTACAAAGGTTATTAGGTGTAATTGAACGTGACTCCAGAAGCGTACGCTGGAGACGCCACGCCAGCGAGACGAGGACCAGGTTGGTGACACCGCCAGCTCCTGCTCTGCTTGGCGCGACCATCCCCGGAGCCGCCGGGACGCCCTGCACAAGCGGCACGCGTTTTTGGCACCGCCGCGAGCGCCGGGGACGTGTTTTGGGGCCCGCCGCGAGCGCCGGGAACGGCCTCGCTGCCCAGCTCCGAGAAACAGAGCTGAAAACCAGAGGATGCTCGGGAGGCAGCTCAGGACCTCCGCCGCTCACTAGTTAACGCTGAATATAACGCCACCATTTCCATGAAGACCTCCGCGCCTGCCAGCGCGGCGCAGTAAAGGCAGGAATTCAGCAGCTGCTGACATGTTCTCTGGAAATAACATGCCCAGGTCTTGTAGCGCCGGCGTCTTTAATCGCTGTTTAACTGTTCGAACATCGGCGTCGCTGGGGATTTTTATGGTCTGTTTAAAAAGCACAATGATTCCCTTCGCGGAGAAGTTTGTAGCTACAATTACCCTTCTGCGGCAACCTGCCAGGAGTCGTCGAAAGCCTTTCCCAGCAAAGAGGCTGGGCGGTATTCTGCCTGCCGCTCACCCTCAGAAA